AAACAGCTTGAGGTGTATCCATGTGCTACTGAAGTGTTTGTTTCTCCCTCTTGAGTTGGCCCTGGAAGGCTGTTGATTTGGAAGTAATCGGATACATAGGTAGTGTAGTTTCCAGTTTTGGCTCAGTTCTTACCAGGTCTGTGACCTTATGCTAGTCATTTATATTCTCTGGAGCTCAGTTTCTTTATCCATAAAGTGAAGAGTTTAAACAAAATTATACTCAGCTTTAACATCATTTTAGGAAAAAAAAGGAAAGGGAACCAAGTTCCTCTTTTTTCCTAGATTTGACTCAACAAAGCTGAAAAGTAAATTTTCTTTAAATTTAAAAGGTGGCTTTGGTCTGGATGGTATATGTGAGAGAGAGAGAGAGAGAGAGAGAGAGAGAGAGAGAGAGAGAGAGAGTGAGTGTGTGTGTGTCTGTGTGTGTGTGTCTGTGTGTGCATGTATGTCAGGCAGGTAGTTGAAATGCCAACCTGACTGTGATGTTTTATCCAAGTCCAGATGTACCACTGTTATATCTCTAGCTATATCTTTTAACTCTAGGATGCAAACACAGTTTTTACTGCAAAGGTAAAGCAGAAAGTTAAGTTTAAATCAAGTTTGAATATCATTTGTACTTGGAGTAATCAGCTTTTTCTCACAGAGGAAACAGCAGTGACTTGGGAGTGAGTTTCCAAAAGCTCTACCAAACAAGCACAGGTTTGAGCTCACTTTTGTACCTGTTTCTCTGCCCCTTGGTGGGCTCCCTCTGCCAGCTTCTTAGGCTTCTCAATCACTTGCCTACTTGACTTCAGACTCAGCACGTCTTAGGAGTTAAAACAGCACAATGAATGTTGGTTTTATTTCAGTGGGCTTCCTGTCTTTCTGGATCTTGGATCCTCATATCCCAGCCACCTTAAAAGCTCTCTAAATCTTTGATATCCTACTTTTCTAGTTGCTCTTAGAAGTAGTATTGGTTTGCTATAAGCTACTTTGTCATAGCCAGAAGCAATAGTTCCTCAGTTTATTTTCTTTCTATTAAAACTGTTTTCTGGATAGAGTATAGTGCAAAATTCTGCTGCCCAATTCAGAATTAAAGAGTATGATTGGCAGGTTTGGTGGATAGGGCAAGATGGATAAATGGAAGTACCAGGTTTCATTGATTTTTTTCATTTGCTTTAGTTAGATGTGTCATTTCTTCTACTTTATTTTAGTGAAGGCAATATATATATATATATATTTCTTGTACTTTAGGTTCTGAGGTACATGTGCAGATCATGCAGGATTGTTGCATAGGTTTATACATGGCAAGGTGGTTTGCTGCCTCCATCCCTCGGTCACCTATATCTGGCATTTCTCCCCATGTTATCCCTCCCCAACCTTCCCTCTCTGCTGTCCGTCCCCAGCCCCCGCCAAAAGACCCTAGTGTGTAATGCTTCCTTCCCTGTGTCCATGTGTTCTCATTGTTCAACACCTGCCTATGAGTGAGAACATGAGGTGTTTGGTTTTCTGTTCTTGTGTCAGTTTGCTGAGAATGATGGTTTCCAGATTCATCCATGTCCCTACAAAAGATATAAACTCATCGTTTTTTATGGCTGCAGAGTATTCCATGGTGTATATGTGCCACATTTTCCTTGTCCAGTTTATCATTGATGGGCATTTGGGTTGGTTCCAGGTCTTTGCTATTGTAAACAGAACCGCAATGAACATATGTGTGCATGTGTCTTTATAACAGAACGATTTATAATCCTTTGGGTATAAACCCAGTAATGGGATTGCTGGGTCAAATGGAATTTCTATTTCTAAGTCCTTGAGGAATGGCCACACTGTCTTCCACAATGGTTGAAGTAATTTACACTCCCACCAACCATGTAAAAGTGTTCCTATTTCTCCACATCCTCTCCAGCATCTGTTGTCTCCAGATTTTTAATGATCGCTGGTGTAAAATGGTATATGGATGTGGTTTTGATTGCATTTCTCTAGTGACCAGTGATGATGAGCATTTTTTCATATGTTTGTTGGCCCCATATATGTCTCCTTTTGAAAAATGTCTGTTCATCTCCTTTGCCCTTTTGAATGGATTTGTTTGTTTTTTCTTGTAAATCTGTTTTAGTTCTTTGTAGCTTCTGGGTAGCCCTTTGTCAGATGGGTAGATGGCAAAAATTTTTCCCAATCTGTTGGTTGCCAGTTCACTCTAGTGATTGTTTTTTTTGCTGTACAGAAGCTCTGGAGTTTAATTTGTCCATTTTGGCTTTTGTTTCCAGTGTTTTTGGTGTGTTAGTCATGAACTCCTTGCCTATGCCTATGTCCTGAATGGTTTTGCCTAGGTTTTCTTCTAGAGTTTTATGGTGTTAGTCTTATGTTTAAGTCTTTATCCATCTGGAGTTAATTTCAGTGTAAGGTGTCAGGAAGGGGTCCAGTTTCAGCTTTCTGCACATTGCTAGCCAGTTTTCCCAAAACCATTTATTAAACAGGGAATCCTTTCCCCATTGCTTGTTTTTGTCCTGTTTGTCAAAGATCAGATGATTATAGATGTGTGGTGTTGCCTCTAAGGCCTCTATTCTGTTCCATTGGTCTATATCTCTGTTTTGATGCCACTACCATGCTGTTTTGATTACTGAAGCCTTGTAGTATAGTTTGAAGTCAGATAGCATGATGCCTTCAGCTTTGTTCATTTTGCTTAGGGATTGACTTGGTTATGCGGGCTCTCTTGGTTCCATATGAAGTTTAAGGTGGTTTTCTCCTGTTCCATGAAAAGGATAATTGGTAGATTGATGGGGATAGCATTGAATCTATAAATTACTTTGGAAAGTATGGCCATTTTCATGATATTGATCCTTCCTAACCATGAGCATGGAATATTTTTCCATCTGTTTGTGTCCTCTCTTATTTTCTTGAGCAGTGGTTTGTAGTTCACCTTGAAGAGATCCTTTACATCCTTTGTTAGTTGTATTCCTAGGTATTTGATTCTCTTTGTAGCAGTTGTGAATGGGAGTTCACTCATGATTTGGCTCTCTGTTAGTCTGTTATTGGTGTATAGGAATGCTTGTGATTTCTGCACATTGATTTTGTATCCTGAGACTTTGCTGAAGTTGCTTATCAATTTAAGGAGATTTTGGGCTGAGACAATGGGGTCTTCTAATTATATAATCATGTCCTCTGCAAATACAGACAATTTGACTTCCTCCTTTCCTAATTGAATACCCTTTATTTCTTTTTCTTGCCTGATTGCTCTGACTAGAACTTCCAATACTATATTGAATTGGAGTGGTGAGAGAGGGCTTCCTTGCCTAGTGCCAGATTTCAAAGGGAATGCTTCCAGTTTTTGCCCGTTCAGTAGATATTGGCCGTGAGTTTGTCATAAATAGCTTTTATTGTTTTGAGATACGTTCCATGAATACCTAGTTTATTGAGAGTTTTTAGCATAAAGGGCTGTTGAATTTTGTCAAAGGCTGAAGGCAATATTTTAATTATTTATTTAAATAAATATTTTAGTATGAATAGTAAAAAATCTGATAATCTAATATTTAAATTTTTATTTATAGATGAATACAATACTAGAATGCACAGTGAAACCTACACTCAAGAAAGCTGTATTGTTATAATCAATATGAAAAATATATATGATGAAAGGCTTTTACAAATGTCATAGTATGTCTCTTATTTTACATATATTTTCTCTTGCATTATCAGCATGGTTTAAATGTGTCTTTGGACAATTGTGGGAAAAATAAAACTGTCTTAAAAACTACTCATCTACATTATAGTTTGTGGATATATCATAAACATAATTAGACATGCAACTTCTACCATTTGTAAGTCAATTATTAACATAAAGAAGAACCCCCAAATTTACCCTAACCAGAGCATCAGATGGCAAATCCAGAATTAGCAATGAAACTCCTAGATTCCCTTGTTCCCTATGCTTTTATTTGCTTATTATAATGAAGGACCTTTGGGATGGGGGTATTTTTACTAACATATATAATGGGAAATCCTGCTTAATAGTCAAGGAAAGAGAACCCATCTTTGACTTATTTTTTTCATTCTGCTTTCTGTGGTAGCCCTAAGAATGTACTTCACCTTCTTAGTGCCTCCAACTGCAGGCAACTTAAATGACCAAGGGTCCCAGCTACTGTTTTCTGAAATCCATTGCTGCTTTTGTGCTGAGCACTTGCTTTCCAAAGGCTGCTCCCAGCCGGTAATTGAGAGGAGCAGGGATACTAAAGATGGCCCCTCCCTATCCTTGGGAGTCACCTGGCCCTAGTGCTTCTTGATAGGCTTACTAAGCCTTCTTTCTAGGGGATAGCAATCCAGGATGCTCCCACCTAACATTCGTTGCCTCTCTCCACCACTGTGTCAAATTTGCATTGTTTCTGTCGGCTTTTCTAGTCTTTTTGACTCCCTCCTCATTTTCTATTACAGGAATTTTCCTTAATGAAATTCTTGCATGTTCAGTCTTGTCTTTGCATTTGTTTCTCAGAGGTCCTAGACGAACACATTATTTCTATAAAAAGATACTATCATATGAAATTACTAAGGAGAAAAAAGATGTTTGCTGTAATTTTAATGACAATATTCTTATATTACTAGATTCTAAAATTTAGGAAAGTCAAAACTTCATGTAATTGAGAGTTATCCTCAGAAATTTATTCTTATATTAGTTTGTTAATTGTATGTAAACTTGCTTTCAGAAGGACTGAAATAGTTACAATAGTAAAATCAGGAGCTCATTTTCTCAGAAAATGTTAATTCACTCAGAATGATTAAATGGCCATACAGTAATAAGCAATCCATAGTCATCTTTGAGATGTCTAAGGATATTTAGTGAGAAATTAAAAGGAAATATTTCTGAGTATGTGTTGATAACTGATATTTTGTTGAAAAGCAGAATAAATCAATATAATAGGTCGAAGTAAGTTTGTTTCTTGCAAATTGGGAATTATTGCTCTCATTTTGTGTGACTTATAGAGAGTGCTTGTTCTTTATATGTTAGTGTTAAAATTCTTCTTTCTTTGCAGAATCATAGTGAGAGATTCGTTTTCATTGCAGAGTGGTATGATCCAAATGCTTCACTTCTTCGACGTTATGAGCTTTTATTTTACCCAGGGGATGGATCTGTTGAAATGGTAAATGAGCCTTTCTTTGTTTGAATGTTGGCAAAGGGGATAAATGTGGGATAGGAAGAGGAATAGCATTGCTTTTATATAATTGCTTTTTAAAAACACATTTATATGTGCGTGTGTGTGTGTGTGTATATATATATGCATATATATATATGTGGAAATTCTTTTTAAAAATATTCATTGTAATTCCAATATAAGGAGCTAACTTGTGCCTTTATTTTTAATGTCAATAACAGGATTTTTTTTTTTTTTTAAAGACTGAAGTGGGGGCCGGGCGCGGTGGCTCACGCCTGTAATTCCAGTGCTTTGGGAGGCCAAGGTGGGTGGATTACTTGAGGTCAGGAGTTTGAGACCAGCCTGGCCAATATGGTGAAACCCCATCTCTACTAAAAATACAAAAAATCAGCTGTGCTTGGTGGCATGTGCCTGTAATCCAGCTACTCAGGAAGCTGAGGCAACAGAATCGCTTGGACTCAGGAGGTGGAGGTTGAAGTGAGCAGAGGTTGCACTACTGCACCCCAGCCTGGGTGACAGAATGAAATTCTGTTTAAAAAAAAAAAGACTGAAGTGAGATTATTCATGTTTTGGATAAGGAATAACCAATAAGTGATTATAAATAAGGATTATCATGGTCATAAATATGTCCTCATTATTGAAAGCTGTTATTGCTACAAAAAGTCAAATTAAAGAGGATCAGGCTAAGAGGGTTTTGTTTCTTTCTTTGTGTCCCTTCATTGGGAACACTTTTAACAAGTGGATCTTTTTGGTGTTGGGATTTTGTGTACACAAGAAAGCAGAAATTTGGGTGTATGACTCTTTCTTTAGCACTTTGTAAGGACTACTTTACTGAAATGATTTCTATTCAGGTTTTTAAAAGTATTAAATTTGTAATAAGAAGCTTTTATGTTATTACCAGATTGGATTTGGAAATACGGAAGTTATTAAAAATTATTTATAACAAAAAAAACAGAATATAACCTACATTTGATAAGACAGGATTAAGAAATATTTCTACCTTATAAGATTAACTTTATTAATAATTTTTTTTGTTCATTATATTGTTGTTTCTGGTTCTAGCATGATGTAAAGAATCATCGTACCTTTTTAAAGCGGACCAAATATGATAACCTGCACTTGGAAGATTTATTTATAGGCAACAAAGTGAATGTCTTTTCTCGACAGTTGGTATTAATTGACTATGGAGATCAATATACAGCTCGCCAGCTGGGAAGTAGGAAAGAAAAGTAAGAAAATAATTATGTATTCTTTTTCCATTCTCTGACTTTAAGCCCAAAGTCAGGCAGAATTAAGACTGGGAGGTTTAACCATAATGAGGACAAATAGGACCTGGAAAATGGTTGTCTTCATTCTTTCTTTTTCTTTTCTTTTTAATTGAAAAATAATTGATAATATCATAGTTGTTTATGTCTCATCTGACTTAATCATATTTATGTCTCCTGTGGCACTTAGCACGTCTCCTTCCATAATGCAAGCACCTTCTCTGTATTAGCTGAATGAATTCATAAATCACAATTTAAAAATCTATTATTTATTCTTTCCTTTTTCCATTTTCTCCCTGTTTTCAAATGATGATCTTTGATATAGTTGACCAGGAAGATTTTGTCTAGATTGTTTGTAACTAATGCTGTCTGTTCTTGAGCTTTATTAACAGACATATATATCTAAGAAATGTTGATCAACTGATCAATTGAAAAATGACAATATGAGTGTTGTAAAAAGGAAAAAGGAAAGAAACCATATAAAGAAATTGTGATACTGGGAGACTGATCTGTCTTGTTTGTAACTGTATCTCTAAAAACTGTTATAGCGATACCTCAAACAGTAAATTATTCAGAGTGTGACCCACAAAAGTTTGTTAAATAAATGAGTGAATAAATTGATGTCATCGAAATGTCTGGAGTATGGTATGTCAAAGGAAGGGTTTCCCAATGGCTGGCATCCCGCCTCCTTCTCTTCCTCCCACTGCATGTGGCTCATTCTATGAAAGACAAACTGTAGCATGATGCCTCCACCTGTGTCTCTATTCTCTCTATTGTTTGTCAAAACTGCATTTATCATTCATTTTCTCAGTTTTGATTTAGAAGAGATACAGTCATCTGTAAAAGGGGTTAAGAAAAAAATTAGAAGAGAGAACAATTTGAAGATGCAATTGAAAGTTAGACTTACAGAAAACTAGGACTTTTGATAATGTTTTTCTTCCGAATATTGATTTTCAATATTAGCACAATGGCATTTTAATTTTCAGTCTCTGCATTTATGAGTTTCCAGTTTCTAAGACTAGAATTAATTATATTTGAAATGAAATTTTAATTCCTTTGTCATCTTTCTTGGCTCTGATTGCTGTAGCTTATATTTTATATGGTTTGGGGAGATTTTTTTTTCCTGCAGAGTGATTGGTATTGTAACTAAAAATAGGGATTATTAGTAGAAGTTAAGACTGTATGTATAAAAGGCTCCAAAAATGACTTAATTCAATAGGGAAAACAAATCAATCAAACTGTTTTTTGAAATCTACTACTCAAATGATTAGCTGATTGCATAGCATCTGAGTCACTCTCATAATAACATGGTATCTCTTTCTGTGACTTCCATAGTCTTTCTATACAAGCACTTTATAATTCTTGAGGTGACTGGATTCTCAGTGTGGCTGTTAGTACACAAATGGTGTTAGTACACAAATGGATCAGAGGGGTGGTGAATGCCTCATAAAAAAGGAAGACCAAAGACTCCCTTTGAAATAGGACAAACATTTCAGATATTAAATAAGGATCTTTTAATGTTATGAGATCTTATGTAAAAGTCTATGGGATTAAGGAAATGCCAACCATAATTCCTTTATTTAAAACTAATAAATATATGTAGCATTCGTTTATGGAGCACATACTATATGCCAGTCATTACAATACTCACTTTACATACACCTCAGTTCAAGACTACTTTATTTTATTATTATTATTTTTGAGACAGGGTCTGCTGGCTCTGTCACTCAGGCTGAAGTGAAGTGGCATGATCATAGCTCACTGTAGCCTTGACTTCCCAGGCTCAAGTGATCCTCCCAGGTCAGTCTCCTGGGTAGGTGAATCTACAGCCCTGCACCACTATGCCTGGCTAATTTTTTGGTGTTTTGGTAGAAATGCAGTTTTGCCATCTTGCTTACGCTGGAAGACTACTTTAAATATTTAAACTAGCAAAATAAGTGACTTAGGGAGGCAGGGTTAAGAGTCTGACCTAATAAAAATAAAATAGCCATTAAAATTATAATTTACATATTTTAATTCTGATTTGACAGAAGTGAATGTTGTTAAATCTATTTTATAGAATGGGTAAGTAACTTGTCTGTAGTCACACAGCTAGAAAGTAAAGGGAAATTGTATTTTTTGTCTAAAATTCATTCTCTTTCTACTAAACCTCTAATTAATAGGGCAGGTGCTGTTGAATGGGACTGATTTGAAAACAGGAGGAACGGAAGAATTCTATTTTAATATGAAGACAAATTTGAAGTATTTGGGCTTCATATAGTTAATGAAAATATATACAGTATATATTTTACTAACTCAAATTGATTCACCATCTTCTCTTCTTACTCTTTCTTAACTCCATATGGGTTAGAAAATCCAGCAGCCCTTTGGGTGATTTAAATAAATTTCTTCGAAACCCAAGAGTTTCAAAAATGTATTGTTTTATTTAAATGGCAAAAAGTAAAGATATGAAAATATATGTATATGTCTGTCAGCATTCTACAGAAACACCTTCTGTATAATAACTGATTTAGTCTAGTTCTCAGTTTTGTATAGTGTTGAGGAAAATTTATGAACGAATTACACTTTAGTCTTTTGTTTCTGTAATAAAGCTGGTAGTGAGGATGATCAGTGAAATTGATCCCATGGAGCTAACTGAGGAGCAGTTATCCAGATAATTTAATATAATTCAATTTAACTCATGAACTAGCTTCAGCTTTCCAATTCCCTTCGACTGTAGAAATCTGACATTTGGTTCACATTTCTATCCTCTCTATATAAAGATCCTCTAATCACATGGATGAAGGTTACAAGTTGTCAATGAGTCAGTCTTTGATTTTAATTTTAGCTAGTAATCAATTGATGCTTTATGACTCTGTTGTTTAGTTGTAGAGACACAATACAATTTGTGTCTTTCTAAAAATTTATTACCTCAAACCAGAAATAATTAAAAAGTTTTCATATGAAGAGTCAATATATATATGTATGTGTGTACATGAATGATAGAGGAATTTTATATGACAAGGAAGCTATTCCCCATATGATAAATGAGGTATTAAATGTTTACTTTGGTAGCTTTATAGCTATAGTAAGAAGTTTATAAAAATTAATGAAAAATAATGCCAGTATCCTATTTAAGAATTCATTAATTTTAAGTACTGAGCCACATATTTACATTCAGCAGTCCCATTCCTTTTGAATCTCAGCCGGAAAGCAAACCATCTAATCAAATGAAAGGGAGAAAGGTGAACAACATTATAGTAAATGCTAAATACATGAGATTCTTGAGCCCATCTTTTAACTTTCAGTGAAAGGAAGACCCTGCTATTTTTTAGAAGAAAAATTATGAAGTCAACTCTATTTATAATCTGTGATCCCAAGATCTAAACCCAAGTTATTTGAGGCTCTGTAACAGCAGGAACTCAGTCACAGTATGCATTTTCCTGTCTCTTGGAGATGTATTGAAATGGTATGTGGGTAAAAGGCCATATTTTAGGTGGGACCTATGCTTAGAATGGGTTTAAGAATACTTCTCTTTGGAGGTAGGGAGATTGACCTAAATCACCTTTTGAGTTTTTAAATACAGCCCAATAATTCTAAGGATTTGCTTAATTGATCATTTTTAAAGGTACTGAAATAATACTTTATATATTTTCTAGACTTATGTGGTTTAACAGTGCTTATGGATGAACATCCATTTTCTAATATTAGAATTTGACTCATATGAACTATACATTTTTTCTGTGTGAAGACTTGGTAATATCATCATATATATATTTAAAGAAATTTTATGGGAGAAAATGTCATAAAATCTTGGCTGTATTGAGTTTGAAACAACCTCAAGGTTCAGGTATTATATACTTTAGCAGGATTACAATATTGAAATAAATGTATGAATGAATTAAATACACTAAAATTTTAATAAATGCTGAAAATGTACCTCTTCCCTACTTCTATCCCAACTGGGATAAATGAAGTTTAGAATACTTTAAAAATTATTCTTCGATCTTCCCCTGGTTCTTATGGCACTTCACCACCTCTACCCCCATCCCTGCTTCTGTCTCTATCTCTCTGGTTATTTCTTCTCAGAGTCATTCCTTCTCAGAGGCAAAAAAGACTCCTGGTATTCCTCAGGGTTCTGTTCATGGCCCTTTTTTTCTCATTATATATTCTCTCCCAGGGGATTCTATGTACTCCATGACTTCAACAATGCATTGCTTTCCAAATTTGTGTCATCAGCCTAGCTGTAAAACCATGTTTAAGCTTTTTCCTGAACATTTGCATGTAGATTTTTCACAGGCACTGAAAAATCCAAAATCGAATTAATTAACAAATCTAAAATTAAATTAATTCTCTTTCATTGAAAAGCCTACTTCTGTATTCACTAACACAACATTCACCTAATCACATACTTAGAAAATTGGTAGCTGTCCTTGAGTTCCATATTTATTTTATCCCTAAATCCACATGGGGACCTAATCTTACCAATTTACTTGTCTCCTTCATAAATCTCTCTTATTTCTCTTCTCTTTCATTATCTTTTTCATTCTTCCTTAAAACAGCGTCTTGTCATTTCTTGAGCTCAGTCTCCATTCTTTCCTCCATATTACTAAAGGATGAAGAACTAACACAGGAGACAGAAGTAGATCAAAATATTAAGTATGAATTTTACTTAGGCTGTCTTGTGAAAGCTGTGTTTGAGAATGGTTGAGGTTTTCTTTCTGTTCCTATTTTCTTTATCAATTACACTGATCTGGAACTTGAGGCCTGCCTGAGGGACAGGTGGATCTACAGAACAAACTGAGAGCACACTTGCCCAGAGTTCTCCTCCTGCTTCCCAGCCCATGGAGCACAGGAGAGAGAGCACTAGAGAGAAACAGGCTTCCACTGCAAGTGCTGCACTCTGACTCAGATGTGCTTAACGTGAAAGCAGGAGAACAATATACTATCCCTTACTTGAAGGCCTGCAGGTCTGAGAGAAAAGAGGCAGGGCCACATATAACCAGAAACCCTTAAATAGGGCCAGACGTGGAAGAACAAATGGAAGAAGTAGAGAGAGAGAGCACTTTCTCATAGGAACGTGCTCTCTCAAAAATTATAAGTTTTGAGACTCCCTAGATGATGTGAACTTGTATTGCCATTCAAGACCTGGTTCTTTTTGATTCGCTCTAAGCGGGTATAGCCTTTGGACCCAAATTGTTTTAGGAAGGATCATCTCTTGGGTACTGTTCCCTTTTCCCAATGATGTATTACAAATCAAAGTTCAGATTTTCCAGATAATCAGTGCTATAAAGTCAAAAACAAGTTTCATTCTTACCTTTCTAGGTTCCTGTTATTTTTACTTTTGTCTTGGTAATTATTTATGATCTAATCAATTTATCTTTAATTTAAAAAAGATTTTTAAAAATATCAACGTTATTAGTTTTGGGTGGAAGAATTGTTCTGAATAATTTTGCTATTGTTGCCAAGCAAAAGTCTTGACTCACTGAATTTTCCTCCAAATTACAGGTGCCTCATTTGAGACAGTTTTCCTTTATCCATGGGGCAAACACACACTTTATGCTTGTAAGGAAAGCATGAGAAAAACTATAAATTTAGTATTGGTGTTTAGAATAGGTTTTTATATACTTAAGACAAATAATGAATACCTTTTAGAATACCTATATAAATTAAAGTTTACACATTTATTCTTTTTCGTCAATGGCATTTAAAGAGTCCATAGCACTGTACTATCTAAGATGTTTAATAGCACTGTACTATCTAACATGTTTAATAGCACTGTACTATGTAAGACTTTATTACATAGCAGTAGCACGATACTATCTAGGACATTTATTGTACAGCAGTCATCTTTCTCAGAAACATTTGCAGTGATTTTTGCTCAGAACCTGATGGTATATGAAGACATTTATTGCTTAGCTCTGTGAGAATTGTTATTTTCTGAAAATCTATATCCTAAGTTTGTGAAGGATGGCCAAACTCTTTTTTCACAAGAAGTAGTTACTGTGTATTGCTAAGAAGTTTTCATCTTAAATAGTGGTTTTTATAATTTTTTGTTTTCTTTTGAGAGTATCTCGTGCTTCATCTTATAGCGCTTGCCTCAGTGCAGGCAAGAGGATTACTAAGTGGTAGATTGTTACACTGATGGCTCTCAATAAATCATACCTCGTGGTCTTCTCTCACAATGACTCTGAGCTTGACCATGTGACTGGTATTGGCCAAAGAGATGTCAGCAAACATGACTCAAGGGGATACTTGATACTTGCCTGTATATTGCTTGCTGTGTTATGGTATTTGAAGTCTAGCCTCCTTAAGAACCACAGGAAAGAAAAGCCCAGTTGTCTCAGCTGAGTACAGCCCCCAGCTGACCCACCAGCTGAATATGGCTGTATGAATGATCCTAGGTGAACAACCTACTTACAGAACCTTGAGAAATTGTTCTTTTACGCCACTACATATTTAGATGGTTTGTTATGCAGTTACAGATAACAGAGACACTATTGATACATCTTTGTCTTCCTATTGTTTCTTCCTGTGCTATCTTTATTTTTAAATTAACACAGATGATGCCCAATATCTGTCTTATTTTCCCTCCAAAATACAATTTACTTATTACTTACTGAAAAATTAAGCAGCAAAGACATGACAGAGGAATTTATTTAGCGTTATTAATCATATAATCAACACTTTGCCTCTTGTAGGTATTTAAGAAAATATGAAATTACATTTTAAGTTGTTTGTCAATTTTAGACTTTTCACATTGCCTCTTGTTTACAGACATTGATGACTGCTATGTTTTATACTTTCTTTAGGAGATATGGTTAGTGAAATGTTCTTCCAGAGTTTACCATAAACAGTATATAGGTTAGTTTGTCTTAAAGTATTTAAATAATATGAATTAAACAGTGTGTTTTCACTTTTTAATTCATAACATACTTAAAAATTCATACAATTTTTAAGTATGTTAATTTAAGTTTTAAGTATGTTTTCAATGAAGCCAGACAATATAAAGTAATATAACTGACTCATCTGCTTTAAAATAAAGAAAAAGATTATCTGGTATAATTTGTAATAAACACACTAAGATGAACAATTTCTTTTGTTATTACAGTTTTAATTCTCAGCTGTAAGCTATCTCCAATTTAAGTAAGGATATTTGAATGTTATCCTGAGTTTGTCTTATTGGTGAAAAAAAAAAATCCAACAATGAAAAGACCAACTATTCTCCTTTTATGGAATCCTTGAATTAATGCCATTGTTATCAGAATGTTGCAAATGTAGAGGAGAAAGTGACAGCAATTCTTTACCACAAAAGATGAATTACTCCAGCTAATAAGGTTTTTATGCTGCATTTGCAAATACTATTCTTGAGAATTTCGTGATGATGCCCCCTTTTAACAGTATTAAAATGCTGCTGACCAGCTGTGTGACCTTTGACATGTTACCTTGGTAGGCCTACTTTCCTCATCAGTAAAATGAGGACACTCAGGTGATCTTCATCTCCAAATTTCTCTTACTTCTGAATCTTCAAAGTGGGAGAATGCATTGTTCCGATCTCTTGGAGAAGAACATGATTTTAAAAGTTAGCATGTTGTTATCTGTTCATATACATTGTTGTATAAGAAGACATTTGGTTCGTCAGGCAATCACCCATGTTATGAATAAAGAGTCAATAGAATAATTTATAATTATTTCTAAATCAATGTTGAACTGACTATATGGCATACAGATACTGAAGTCTAACAGACTGAAAACCAGGCTCGTAATATATTAAATGCAACTTTTTGGAGATTGGTCCTTCGTATAAAATGTATTCTAAGAAATGGAAATTCTAAATGCCTGTGTTTTCTCATTTGGACATATTAAAAATAATAATGCTTTTTTTTCCCTAAGCTTCCCCCTCTCCCAAGTTTGGTATCTGATTTTGATGTTTATGGGAAAAATACTAAGCTTTGTATAAGTTTTTAAGAGATGTCTTTAATATACTTCTCTATATAATTAACTTCAAATTTTGATGATCTGGGATAATTGTTGAGGTAACTACCACTGCTTGGGAATTATAAGTAAAAACTGTTGAACTGTTTTTATTTGCAAACCTATTCTTTGTTTTCTTATAGAACGCTAGCCCTAATTAAACCAGATGCAATATCAAAGGCTGGAGAAATAATTGAAATAATAAACAAAGCTGGATTTACTATAACGAAACTCAAAATGATGATGCTTTCAAGGTAATTTATCATTTTCAGTTATGTAATATTTGATTCCTTTTAAAAAATCATTTTCTATCTTTCATGTCATTGTTTAAAATAAAAAAACCTCCTACTGAATGACAGAGAATAGGATATGAACCTTATCAAAATGAGAACTGATGGGAGTTCATCTAAAATGTTACTGACAAAGCTGGCTCCCCAAAAGATGGGATCTTTCCCTATTCAGTGTTAAGAAACCCATACACAAAATCGAAAGTGAATATCAAGCAGTGCAGGCTTCATTCAGTGCCCATGGAATTGAGAAACAGGAGCATGACTCACGAATCAACTTCTCAACTAGTGAGGGGTGAGGGGGTTAAAATAAAAGATTTCTCTAATAAAGGACATTAAAAGCAAGAGGAGCAATATGATGTCTTTTCTAGAAATTGGTGGTGAACTTCCACTAGTTTCACAATTGGTGGTGAATCAGAATGCTGCCTTCCTTTTTGTCTTTCTGTGGCCTCTTCTGGTCATTGTCATGGTAATTTGCAATAGTCATAGTGCTGGTGGGAGTGTCATATGGCATGAAAATGAAATTATAATGAAGCCCGAGGTCTTTTTGATGTAATTTGGTTGCTTGTCTTGGTTCTAACCAGTCTCAACTGGTCTGGTTGTAAAGGGAACTTTTTATTGCAGAAGTGCTGTTTATTAAAGATAAGCAGAGTTAGGACAGGGTAGGAATTCAGCTGTCATGTAGGCATTACACCAGGCAACAAAAAGAAAAAGAAGAAAGAAAAGAACAATAAGACAAGTAATCAGATGCCTAAATAACCACTGACGCCTAAGTAATTAGGAGTTGTCAAATTATGCATGCCTCATTTAACTATTTATTGTCTTTCAAAACCTCATCTGCTTTTATAACACCAATGCCTAATAATTATAATCTCTTCTTAATATATAAGGATAACACACTGTATAAAATTAATAGAGGAAATGCATGTCTGATTATTTCTATTTGACAAGAAGATGTTGAGGTTTCCAAAGATGATATATTTGGAAATGTTTACATTTAGCTCTTATTACAAATAATAGGTAAATATGCCTATTTATTTATTTTTTAAATAGACCTATCTAAAAAGCAATCCAATCTATTTAACCGGATAGTTTCTAAGTTATTTAGTGAAAATGAGACTTACACATTCAATTTAGCCCTTTCTATCATGACGTGAGTAACTCTAACCCCATGCTAAAACTGTATTTCTATTGTGAGAATGGCAAGGAGAATATTAACAATGTACAAATGAAGAATAGAACATAGGGAAAACCTTCTCTTCAGTTTTTTTGATAGATCCTTTGGGAAAAAAACCTAATGATTATTCCATGATATTGGACACTTGTTTTAAAAAATTTCCTACCAAGTAGACAAAGACTGAAACATTCTGGAAGATGAAGAAGGGAGATGAGTATAGGGGACTTTGTTTCCTGGGATCACACTCTGGTTGGCTGAGTGTAACACAGTAGCCCAGAGTGTCTCTAGGGACACGAGTTAGGCAGATCTGGCTCCAATAGTGTTCTTATGTTTCTCCACTAGTTTTTGTTTGTTTTTGGTCAGGTGTCTTCTTTATGCTTCAAGAAATCATTCATTTCTTGATTTATTCATTTCTGGTCGGTAGCATTTTTGTTTCTGTGAAAGCACGGACAATGGAGAGCAGTAGACATTCAAGTCAGCTTCAATACATCTGATTCTGAGAAACTAACAAAACACCCTCCATTTTACCCTGACAATGACATGTTTAATTAGAATTTTTCCCTTATGTATGATTTCCTAGTTTACATATTTTCTAGAGAGACAGGTGTCTTACATTTCAGAGCACAGTATCTAGACCAGATTGCTTGTAACTGTGCCACTTACTGGGTATGTGTGTGACTCAACAATTTACCACTGTGCTTATTTCTTCATTTGCAAAATGGGAGTTATAATAGTATCTATCTCATAAAGTTGTTGTGAGGGTTACATGAGTTTAGTGTCTCTATACTTCCAGTGTTTGATAACTTGGTGTCCAGCTTCCTGTGGTAAAGATGCTACTTGTTTTTCATCATGGCCCTGTAGCACATGAAGAAAGATGCTAAAACCAGTGAACACTTCAAGAGTACCATAGGATGTACATTTGCTAGTTTCTTTGAAACCTTAAGTCTTGTTAATTCCATCCATGCTAACTTATGAAACGCTTCATTCTTTGGAGTACCACAGATACAAGCCCTTCTAATTACTTGTCCACACACCTATTCATTTTTTGTTATGCACTTCCTTTTCTCATATTCTTCTGACCACAAATCTCTTACCAAACCATTTTCCCTGGCCCCTCTGGAAATCAAGTTTCATTGTGAAGAAATATCCTTCTGTCCACATTGTCAACAGAGTGTATCCTCGCCCCCACATTTTTACTTTAGTTGAAATCTGACCTTTCTCTAGGGACTTCCCTTTCCTTTTAGCCCTGAAGGTTGCTCACTCATAAATGTTTCTTGTGTCACAGGATCATTATACAGTGTCAGTGTTTTAGCTCTCTCCTATAAATCTCTACTCTTCCTCATCCTTGGAAATTCATGATATTTAGCTGTATTACCATCCACTGAGCCTCTTTCCATTCTACAGTTCACAAACTACACATTTGTTAAAGATTTGGGCACTTTGTTTATAGTCTCCTTCAACTCCATTGTCTCCTAACATTTGGGATGACTTCTTCGACGTCTCTGTGAGTGATCACCCCGGGCTCTAGCTCTATAGACCATTTTCTTCCCCATCTCAGTAACTGTCACCATGATTTCAATAAGGTATTCCTCCAGATTGTGTGCCTTTTTTTTTTTTTTTTTTTTTTAAAGAATCATGGTCTTGCTATGTTACCCAGGCTAGTCTCAAATTGGCCTCAAGTGAGTCTCCTGCCTTGTACTGCCAAAGTGCTAGAACTACAGGCATAAGCCACTGCATCCAGCTTGTGTATGTTCTTTTCTTTATAACTTTACCTGAGTAGTGCTATCCATGTCCAATCATCACCTACCACTTACCTATAAATGAATTCCAAATACATCTCAGCCTTGACTTCTCTCTACAACTGTCAATCTGAAAGTGATCCTAGATTCATCTTGCTGCTCCCCCATTCCTCATACCTGCCTGATATGTAAGTCTTTTAACTTCTGTTTTCTGTATATCTCTGGGTGCCATTCTCTCCTTATAATTCCTATTTCAGCCCCTTAGTTTAGGCATTTTATAGGCTCATAGTCAGGCTCTCAGAGTATCAAAATAAGCTACTGACTGATTGTCTACTTCTAGACTTACTACCTTCTATTCCTTGATGGGTCATTTCCTACCTCAGGATTGTTCCACGCCATTTTCTTATTGCCATTAGAATGAACCTTACACAATGAAAATTTGAACATGCTACCATTCCCTTGCTTAAATCCATCACTGGTTTCCCATCTGCAGGAAAAAATGGACAAGCAGGCAAGCTCTTTGAGGGAGTATACAAGACTCTTAAGTTATCTGAACTCACCTACTGTGATGGCTCTAAGAGGTACTTAGGTTTCAGTTCCCTGAATATGTTGAGCTTTATCACATCTCAGTTCTCTTGTACATAATTTTGAACTGTTTTGAATGCTCTGCCTTGTCTTCTGTCTAGTCCCTTCCTATTCGTCATTCAGAACCAACTCAAATATCTCATGAAAATTAATTCCTGAGAAAACTTAACTGCTTATCTATTCATTCATACCACTTCATATATTTTTATTAGTATGTTGAGTTTGGGGTTTCATCCAATTTATACGCTAGGAAGTTAGCCTATAACTCTTCCATGGATGTTAGCAGATGACATGAGACTTCTGGGTCAGAGACAAAAGACTTTATTATGGTAGAGCAAGCAGCATGAGCATTGAGTGTATAGTGGTTTCCCTTGCCTCCATATCCTGTAGGAATAAAATGACTTAGGCCCAGTTGTGTACTGTGTACGTAGAGGGTTGTGTTGCATCACAACTGAGGAGGAGTCAACCTGGGTTACCAACCTGGGCTACCCATTAGCAAGCAATAAACAAGCGTGCTCTTTTTACTGAATAGAGGATTTACCTTATTCCTCAAGGTTGCTTGTTGCAAACACGACCCTGAGAAATGACAATGATAAAGATCAGTCAGGCCTTGTGTTCTTCGCATACCCAGTAAGACAAGTTAGAAGTGTGCGAGAAACTCGCATGGAGGAATTTCTCACAATGTGTGAATCTTTTCTAAAATTGTGTGTTCAAATGTCAGTTCCTCCATGGTGACAATATCCAGAAGTTAGCTGCTGAGTTCTGTATAAGTTTGTATTTCTAGTCCTTGGAGCGGGCTTCAGTCAAGGTAGGCATTAAGCAAATATTTTTTGAAAGAGTTAATGAATAGATCTTTGTGAAAGAATGGTTTGTTTCTTCATAAAAACAAAACAATAACAAAAAACTTCTCTAGATAGTGATTCACTTATTAATGCCTATCTCCTTCTAAACCTTTTAAGCAAAGAATTAGATAAGAATGATGGGAAAAAAAACTTAAGAACTCTCATCCTGCTTTCAATTTTAGATTTGGAATGGACATAACTATGGAATCAGGGACATGTTGGATGAAAACAATGAAACATTTTTAGTAATGGAGTGAGGTTTTTCTTTTCAATGATATTAAAAATCATGGTTGTTTTTTTCCTTTCTTTTAGTTCAGTTTTTTTTGTGTTTGAAAAGTTTAGAATTGATTATTTTGGTATTCTTCTGCTAACTCTTCCAATTTACTATCTATGTGAGCTTTTCAGTCATTCAGTTTTACCCTGTTTTGCCCTGTAATGCAATATATACATATCTCTTTTTTGGTGAGTTTTCTCTTTATCCTCTAGAATGTTCTGCAGTTAGTAGTAGAAAGCATAAGCAGTGGGAGATTTGCAATTTGAGAGATTTGTGTTCAAATCTTCTTGTCTTGTGCTTACTAGCTTTGTGACCTGGACAAATTATATAACTGTGCTGGACTTTATTCTTTTCATATGTAAAATGATCACACCTATTTCAATATACCATTGTAAGGAATAAATATAATAATTTAATCATGGCTATAACTGACTCTAGAAAAAATTGATTTTTTTTCTCCTCCTCATGTCTTGGGAGGAATTTTATTCTCTGTATTGTCATTACATATTTCAAAATCTCTTCACAGCCAAAGGAATGTTTAAGTACTTTTGGTTAGAATGAGAGTATGTCTGTTATAACTTGTTATATAAATTCATTTTGTAATATGCTGATAAAATCTTAAAAGCTTTGCATACCAAATTAAGTCTCAGGACTGGAAGATTGATTCTTTGCTAGGGAACACGTTCCAGTTTTAAAAGTAGTTGATATTTACGTATATTAGTCACATATTGTGAACTCAGTTCAAAGCCTTTAGGAAAACTACACGATTTTAAGAGAGACACCTGGTTTGCCTTAATAAAAAGGTTTTTAGACTTTTAGCTAATCAGCTTAAAGTGCATTATTCTTTTATTGCCTCTGTAGATATTCTTTAGTGGTAATATAAATGTAAAAAGTGAATCCTTGTTACCATCAATAAACTCTGAGATCTAAATGTTTCCATATCTCCCCTTTTTTAAGTAATATCAGTTAAAGCATTAGTAACCAATAAAATAAAAACAAATTAATATACATAATTTCTTAGGCAGCTTTTAAAAACAGAACTGCATAGTCTTTCCTTTGGAGATACCTAGCTCAGAAAAAAAGCTATAAATGTTAAATTAAAATTTTAGCCTAAACTCTTAATGAGGGAGAAAGTGACAAATTTTCAATTAGAAGATGGTTTTGCATTTTTTGATGCAACTTGTTTAGACTTTAAAGAACAAATATTCTTGTTGGTCAAATATTAACCTTCATTTCTAGAATGTTCAGGATGTTGTGAAAAAGAAGGTTGATGAGGCCAGGTGTGGTGGCTCACTCCTGTAATCTTAGCACCTTGAGAGGCCAAGGCGGGTGGATCACCTAAGATCAGGAGTTAGAGACCAGCCTGGCCAACATGGTGAAACCCCATATCTACTAAAAGTACACAGATAAGCTGGGCGTGGTGGCACATGCCTGTTACTCCAGCTAGTGGGGAGGCTGAGGCAAGAGAACTTCTTGAACCCAGGAGGCGGAGGTTGTAGTGAGTGCCTAGATCATGCCACTGCACTCCAGCCTGGGTGACTCCATCTAAAAAAAAAAAAGATGATAAATGATATGTAACATAAGTAGAAAAGTAAATATTGCTTTTTACATTCATTTTAATTTACATAGATGTTACTCATACTTCCAAAATATTTAAAAAGAGAGACTTTGACAGAATATTTTGGTAAAAAATTATTCAAATATAAATAAGTATAAATCGAGGATTTTATCTGTATTTTATTTTAATTAATATAAACTAAAATAATAAGGATTTTCTTTTATAATTTGTAACTATTCTCATTTTGATTATTTTATAGGAAAGAAGCAGTGGATTTTCACGTAGATCATCAATCAAGGCCCTTTTACAAGTAGGTCCTTAATTTGGGGATTAGTGGTATGTAAAGGGGGATATCCTAGAAAACTAAGGAATTACATTTAAAAAATTTATTACATGAGAATAATCTGTCAAAAGGACCATAGCAACATCTTGCAACTGCACAGAAATCTTTTCAAATAATCATATTCTCTGTCTTTTTATTAAGAATTCCTATATTTTATCATTAAAAATCTTTAATCAGTTGCAAATAGGAATTCTTTACATTACAAGAAGGATAACTTTTAAAATTTTTGGTTTATTAAAAATGGAGTGATAATTATATTTGATGTTGAATATTTTTGTTGTGCCTTTGTGTTTGTGGGGTTTTCAATTTATTTAATTTTTATATTTCATGTCAACTTTTACTTTAGGTTCAAGGGGTACATGTGCTGGTTTGTTACCTGTGTATATTGTGTGATGCTGAGGTTTTGGGTTCAAATGATCCTATTACCCAGGTACTGAGCATAATACCCGATAGTTTTTCAACCCTTGCTCCTTTCTCTCCCTCCTACTCTAGTAGTTCCCAGTATCTGTGGTTGCCATCAGTAGATATTATTGTCCATGTGTACCTATTATTTAGTTCCCACTTATAAGTAAGAACATGGTATTTGGTTTTCTGTTCTGCATTAATTTGCTTATGATAATGGCCTCCATCTCCATTCATGTTTCTGCAGAGGCCATGATTTCATTGTTTTATAATGGCAGCATGGTATTCCATGGTGTATATATGTACCACATTTTCTCTATCCAGTTCACCACGGATGGGTTCCTAGGTTGATTCCATGTCTTTGCTGTTGTGTGTGGTGCTGCAATGAACAGGCAAGTGCATGTACCTTTTTGGCAGAAAGATTTGTTTTCTTTTGGATATGTATCAGTAATGGGATTTCAGGGTCAAATAGTAGTTCTGTTTTATGTCCTTTGAAAAATTTCCAAACTGTTTTCTACAGTGATTGAGGTACTAATTTGCATTCCCATCAACAGTGTATGTGTTCCCTTTCTCTACAGCCTTGCCAGCATCTGTTGTTTTTTTGAACTTTTTAAAAAATAAATTCAACTTTTATTGTAGATGCAGGAGGTACATATACAGATTTGTTACATGGAAATATTGTGTGATGCCGAGTATGGATCTTATCCTCCAGGTTGTTAAGTATAGTACCCAGTAGGTATTCAGACCACTTCCATCTCCCCTCTAGTGGTCCGCAGTGTCTATTATCCCCATATTTGTATCAAAGAGTGTTTAATGTTTAGCTCCTACTTGTAGGTGAGAACATACAGTTTTTGGTTTTCTGTTTCTGCATTAATTTGCTTAGGATTATGGCCTCCAGCTCTGTTTATATTGTTGCCAAGGACGTGATTTTATTTTTTATTATGGCTGTGTAGAATTCTTTGTGTGTATATATATATATATATATATATATACCACATTTTCTTTATCCCATGTACCATTGATAGGCACTTGAGTTGATTCCATGTATTTGCTATTGTGAATAGCACAGCAACGAGTGTATGTGTGTACCTGTCTTTTTGATAGAATTTCTTTTCCTCTGGGTATTTATGCAGTAATGGAATTTCTAGGTCAAATGGTAGCTCTGTTTTAAATTCTTTGAGAAATATCTACACTGCTTTCCACATGGCTGGAATAATTAACATTCTCAACAACAGTGTATAAGCACTCCCTTTTTTCTACAGCCTTGCCAGCATGTTATTTTTTGACTTTTTAATAATAGCCATTCTGACTGGTGTGAGATAGTATCTCATTGTGGTTTTGATTTGCATTTTTCTGATGATTAGTGATATTGAGCATTTTTTCACGTTTATTGGCTGTTGGTGTTTTTTTTTTTTTTTTTTTTTTTGAGACGGAGTCTCTCTCTGTCACCTAGGCTGGAATGCAGTGGTGTGATCTCAGCTCACTGCAACCTCTGCCTGCCAGTTTCAAGGGATTCTCCTGCCTCAGCCTCCTGCATAGCTGAGATTACAGGTGCATGCCACCACACCCAGTTAATTTTTGTATTTTTAGTAGAGACAGGGTTTCACCATGTCAGTTAGGCTGGTCTCAAACTCCTGACCTCGTGATCCGCCTGCCTCTGCTTCCCAAAGTACTGCAATTACAGACCTGAGCCACCATGTCCAGCTGTATGTTATTTTGAGAAGTGTCTATTCATGTCTTTTGCTCAATTTTTGGTGGGGTTATTTGTTTTGTGCTTGTTCGATTGTTTAAGTTAGTTATAGATTCTGTATATTAGTCCTTTGTTGAATGCATAGTTTGCGAATATTTTCTCCCATTCTGTAGGTTGTTTTTTACTCTGTTGATAGTGCAGAAGCTTTCACAGTGCAGAAGCTCTTGAATTAGGTCCCACTTGTCACTTGTTGTTTTTGTTGCCATTACTTTTGAGGACTTAGTCGTAAATTCTTTTTCAAGGCCAGTGTCCAGAATGGTGTTTCCTAGGTTTTCTTCTAAGATTCTTATAGTTTGAGGTCTTACTTATAAGTCTTTAATCCATCTTGAAGTTTTGTATATGGTTAAAGTTAGGGAACCAGTTTCATTCTTCTGCTTATGGCTAGACAGCTATCCCAGTACCATTTATTTAATAGAGAATCCTTTCCCCATTGATTATTTTTGTTGACTTTGTCAAAGTTCAGATGGCTGTAGATGTGTGGCTTTATTTCTGGGTTCTCTATTGTGTTCCAGTGATCCATGTGTCTGTTTTTGTACCAGAACCATACTGTTTTGGTTACTGTAGCCTGTTGTACTTTTCAAATATTTTGGTAGTCTTATATACATAAAGCAATGTTCATGTAACCTTTCTATTTTAGCTAAATAGTTTGATATATATTTTGTTCCTTGACCTATAAGAAATATATGTTACACTGAATCTATATATTCTAAATGGTTGAGAAGTAATCAAATTTAAGTGAATATTTTATATACTCGTATTACTGTTACTGATAACAGAGTATTTACATTTCTAATAAGAAAGAATGGTATGTTAGCCAAACCAAATGGCTACAGTAGGCATGTTATTTGGTATCCTGCACTGAGTAGTCGGTTTTAAAAAAAAATTTATATAAGAAAATTATTATGCTTTGGATTATTTCAAATCAAGCATTATAAAATATTCCCAAGCCTTGTTAGAATAGCTATATACAATTTTCTAGAATATTGGTGGAAATTATCTTTTAGTGTAAACTTTGTATATGTTTATAGCATTGAATTACAACTAATTTAATGATTTATATGTGATTTGCACGCAGTAAATTTTCTTAAAGTAGTAACTTAACTAGTTGCCTGTTAATGAGAACGATGTAACAAAAGACCAGGTGAAGTAATTAGAAAGAGTTTCATAAGACAGTGTCTATGATCAGGCACATCATTCCCTGTGTTATTACATGCAGTTTTCATAGGCTTATTCTCTTGTGTGTTTTGAGAATTCTGTATTAATAGGGCATTAAATTATAAGTGTCTTGAAGGAAGGATCTTGTTTTATGGCACAGATGCTGATATGTTGTAGGTAATCAGTAAATGCTTGTTGAATGAATAAACATGGTTTGCTCCCTTGATTTGGGTTTTCTTTAATCTGTTGGTTGGTCTTGGGGGTTTTGTTTGTTTGTTTGGCAGCAAAGGTCTGGCAGAAAATGTATGAGGAGGTATTATAGACCTCTTAGGGTAGAAGACATGAATACTTCTTTGTACATGCTATTTCTTAGAAATATTCTTCAAAATGAATGGGAGCAATTTAAAAAGGAAGTACTGAGGAGAGCTGACTTACATAACATGGTGCTGGGTGGAAGGAAGTATGTAAAAAATAGTCATAAGTTAGTGAGCACAAATGAGCCTTTCACACTGTGTTCCTTTCTCCAGGAGGGTCTCTTCTCTGTACTTTGGATGAGAGAAAAACATGGGCTTACTCTAAAAAGTACTTTGTCCCTGCTTAACACAGTTAGAAAGACGATGTCACTTATTTCATAGCTAAACTTGTCATTGCACCCAGTACACATATAGAAGTGGAAAATAGAATGAGGTATTGTTTTTTGTTATCTTGGGGGACTGTGACACAGTGCTGGATTTTTAATCAAGAACTTATGTGTATGCTCTAATAATTTAATATAGGAATAACCCAGAGTAGTTTTTTATACTAATAAAAGGATATTTCTTGAAGCCTGTTGGTTTTTTAAAGCCTGTTGTTATTTTTTTGTTTTTGTTTTTTGATACAGACTCTCACTCTTTTGCCCAGGCTGGAGTGCAGTGGCACAATCTCGGCTCACTGCAACCTCCTCCTCCCTGGTTCAAGCAATTATCTTGCCTCAGCCTCTGGAGTATCTGGGACTACAGGCACCCGCCACCACACCTGGCTAATTTTTAAAAATTTTTTTATTTTTAGAAGAGACCAGGTTTCACCATATTGGCCTGGCTGGTGTCTAACTCCTGACCTTGTGATCTGCCCACCCCAGCCTCCCAAAGTGCTGAGATTTTTTAAATCACCAAACCAACTCAGTGTTTATTGATTGAGAGAGTTCTTTGTCAGTCTTTGAATTCTAATAGTTTTACACAAAAAGAAATAAATTCTTACTATAAGTTCCAAGCCATCCATCCCTCTCATCAATTTGCATATTGTGAAATTGTACTTGACAGCAGTGGTAAACACATGAAAATAAAAAGGAAAATCACTGTACCTGTTAGAGCACTGGGAAAAGCATAGGTCAACAATATGCATGTTAAGTCAATGAAATAGTCTTAATTCAACAGAACAGTGATTTTTCTGCTAATAGTAGTTTGACATTACTAGTGATTTGAAGTGAATTGAGCCACTGGAAGACACTCAATTTATGAAAAGTGTTTCCTGCCCATGTGAAATTAACTATGTTCAATGGTTCTGAGAGTATAATATTCTTTTCTATGTTGAAAAAAATCCAATTTAAATATATTCTTTTATTAAGACAGATACCTAGGTTGACAGAAGAAAGAAGCAAACTAATCTTCTATCTGTTTTGTAGTGAGCTGATCCAGTTTATTACAACTGGTCCTATTATTGCCATGGAAATTTTAAGAGATGATGCTATATGTGAATGGAAAAGACTACTGGGACCTGCAAACTCTGGGGTGGCACGCACAGATGCTTCTGGAAGCATTAGAGCCGTCTTTGGAACAGATGGCATAAGAAATGCAGCACATGGCCCTGATTCTTTTGCTTCTGCTGCCAGAGTAAGGTGTTTTAAAAATATTTTAATTGTCTTCTAGTTCTGTTACATATTTTATCAAAGTAAGGCATTTCTGTCACTGGTGACTTAGGCTATAGTGCCAGGACTGCTACAGTAGCCTTCTTTATGCACCTGATCTAGTAGTAGAGAAAACCTTTGACATTTTGCCTAGTATTAAACAGTGTTTATATCTCCTTTGTCAACTGGTGATCATAATCAATGTAACTTTTCTCCAATTAAAACACTTCTCATCCTGTCTCTTGTTCCAAAGACTTAAATTACTGAGACTCCTAAATGTTTGAATTATCAAATTCATGTAAGAATACCAGTTTATGGCTAGTAGATGTTAAAAAGAAGACACATTTTGAGATACTACTTTTTGATTCAGACCTAATACTGTACTTTCAAGCTTGACATCCTATTATTTTCCTATACATGGCTTGTATTTATGAAAGTTTCTTTACAACTGCTCCTTATTTTTAAATCCATATAAATAAAGCATCATATTGGATTTATGCTGAGGTTGAATTAATGAAGTATAAGTTTATTTTTAGCATTGTGAGAAGTGTCTCACTTAAGATAGTTTTTAATTTTTTGCAGTGAAACAATATTAGACAATTTTATAATAGTTGACTTATTTCTTTTTCTTACAATTTCTTCCGCAAGTCTCTTCAGCTCTACTTTCAAAATAAACCCCGAATCTGACCATTGTGATCTAAATCACTATTATATTTTGCCAGGACTGCTACAGTAGCCTCCAAATTCTTTTTTCCTCTTTCCCTTCACTCAATTTATGAAAATTTTACCTTGCCCAAGTAAAATCAACTATGCCTAGTGATATTTTAAAGCCAAATCAGATTAACATTCACCTGCTGAAAACCCTTCAGTGAATTTCCGTCTCTTCTAGAATAAAATCTGAAGTCTTTATTGTAGCTTCCAAGGCTCTATCTGGTCTGGCCTCTATATATCTCTAACTGTATCTTTGATCAATCTCTATCTTAATCACTGTGTTCCAGTCACATTAACTATCTTGCTATTCCCTGAAGAGCGTACATCTGTATGCAATAGTAAAATAACAGCAAAGAGGACAATGTGGTTGGATAGGAATGAGAGAGGGAAGAAGAGGGGCATGAGGTTACAGAGGTAATTAGGGGAAAGATCATATGGTCTTATATCCATAGTTGTACTTTTAGATTTTTCTTTGAAAACATATAGAGCCATTTTAGGGTTTTGAGCAAAGGACTGGTATGTTTCACTTGCCATTTAAAAGAATCATTCTGGCTGTTGCATTAAGAATGACTATAGAGGCCCGACACAATGGCTCAGGCCTGTAATCCCAGCACTTTGGGAGGCTGAGGCGGGTGGATCGTGAGGTCCCAGCAACTTGGGAGGCTGAGGCAGGAGAATTGCTTGAACCTAGGAGGCGGAGTTTGCAGTGAGCCGAGATCATACCACTGCACTCCAGCCTGGGTGACAGAGTAAGACTCTCTCTCTCTCAAAAAAAAAAAAAGAAAAATCAGGAGACAACAGATGCTGGAGAGGATGTAGAGAAATAGGAACACTTTTACACATTGGTGGGAGTGTAAATTAGTTCAACCATTGTGGAAGACAGTGTGGCGATTCCTCAAGGATCTAGAGATAGAAATACCATTTGACCCAGCAATTCCATTACTGGGTATATATCCAAAGCATTATAAATCATTCTATTATAAAGACAGATGTACACGTATGTTATTATGGCTCTATTTATGATAGAAAAGACTAGGATGTAGATCCCTGTAGGTATTTGAGTTTTCATCTGTGCTGTAAAGTTTCTCTTGGACCATGCAATCAAAGCATCTGATAAAGGACTAAAAGGGATAGTTCCTGTTGTTATTGATCAAGAGGAGTAATAAATAATGGCAGCAATATGATAGAAAGGCACTTGATATCTCAGGAATAGTGTCTTACCACTGGAAATGCTCAAGTGTATACATTAATATTTGAATAATTCCTCATTGCCCTTGTGTTTAAAAAATGCTGATCAATGTGGCATATTAACACATTCTGTAATCTTTTCATTTTAAATTTAATGAAAAATAAATACAGTTGACCCATAAACAACACAGGTTTGAACTGCACGGGTCTACTTATAACGTGGACTTTTTTCCAACAGAACGATTGAAAATACAGTATTTGCAGGATGTGAAACCCACATCTACAGATTTGACTTTTCTTATAAGCAGATTGCACAGGGCTGACTGCAGGATTTGAGTATGGAGGATATGGGTACACACAGGGGTCCTGGAACCAATCTCTTGTGTATACCAAGGGCTATTTGCATTGAGCCAGGCATTGTTTTAGTTGCTATGGGTCCTGTAAAGTTGTGCAACTTAGTTCCTTTTTTTCAAATGTATAATTTGATGAAAGACAAACACCCAAATAGCCATAACTTTGGGGAGTCCAGGTTGCGGACAGGAGGCATTGGGAAATGCCTCCTAGTGTTAAGTGGTATTTGAAGTTGGCTCTTTGCACATTGGTTAGGTTCTTTGGAGCTTGGGTTAGAGGATTTTACAGGGAATATTAGAAATAATAGCAGTGAAAGTTTAGAGGCAGAAAAGTCTTTAAGGAATTAAAAGCATGACCATCTTTGTGGCTAGTTGAAATTGTTGGGTTGTCATTTTAGTGAACCACATGCAAAGCGAATAATACAGACTGAATTTGTTTATAAAACATGGTTCATTTGATTTGATTTTGTACTAGGCCTATAGTTATTTTAAGTAGCTGTGGTTCTCAGATTCCTGATATTAATCTCTGTTCCTATAAAATTTTCTAGTTTTTAATCTTATTTTACATATTTTACTGAAAAAGTTTAAATTTGTGTCTAATTGACTAATGCTTTGGGGAAAATAAGAACTTTATATTCATATTTCCAATATTCAGAATTTATTAAAACTCTGTCCATTATAATCCTGGAACAGAATGACACATATTCTCATTGCTTTGATTGATACTTCTTTATATGTTCTTCTGGTTTTAAGTCTTGAAACAGGGTTAATTTAATCAGTTTGTCCTTGTAAAACTCATTTTTAGAAAATTTGAAACAAAGAATTTATACAATGAAACTCTAAAAGTAATTGCATGATTCTCCTCCCCCACAGAAATATCTTGTAAGTTCAAGATAAGAGATCACACTTGTCAAAGTCATTTCTCTCTGTCTTTAGGAAATGGAGTTGTTTTTTCCTTCAAGTGGAGGTTGTGGGCCGGCAAACACTGCTAAATTTACCAATTGTACTTGTTGTATTGTTAAACCCCACGCTGTCAGTGAAGGTAAGTGCTATGTTGAATACACACTTTATCCAACACATTTTGTTAATAGGAGAGCAATGTTTATTTTCTTAATGTACTTTATGTGTAGAAATTAGTGTATACTTTTAGTATTTTCATTTATTTTTTTCTTGGAAGGTACTTGAATAAAGGTGACAAAATATAAGGGAAAATCTATCTAAATCTCTATTTGTCTTTTTCTTTGTGCATTTTAGGAGGTGTTCTTTGAGTTGCTGATCATGCTCAGGCTCATTTATACTGTTACAGGTCTTGGATCATTGACTTTTAGTCAGCCTCCTGACTTGCCAATCACAAACAGTGATTCACTTACTTCACTTAGATACTTGTTGGTTTTTTTTTTTTTTTTCCGAGATGGAATATTGCTCTGTTGTCCAGGCTGGAGTGCACTGGCATGATCTTTGCTCACTGCAATCTCAGCCTCCCAGGTTCAAGCAATTCTCCCACCTCAGCCTCCCGAGTACAGGCACACACCACCACACCCGGCTAACTTTTTTATTTTTGGTGGAGCTGGAGTTTCACCATATTCTTACCTCAGATGATCCACCCACCTGAGCCTCCCAGAGTTCTTCTGGGATTACAGGCATGAGCCACTGTGCCTGGCTAGTAGCACTCCTGTTGTACAATTTAAATCGATGTCTGCCATAAATCCAGTATACCCTTCCTGAGAAAGGTGGAGAAATTTCCTTCAGTTCTTTGTATCTCAAACAGTTCTTTGACATATGCATGTATATACACATTTGCATATGGACATATGTATATAGAGAGAGTTTGTAAGTTCTTTTCTTATTTTTGTCTCAGTTTCTTCATTTTACTGATTTTAGACTGGTGTATGTATTTTTTTTTTTTAGGTATCTCAAATCTTTTTGGAAGTAAGATGGAGGATGATTAAAAAGATCACCCTTAAAAAACTAGAATACACTAAATAGTATACAGAAATGAATGGATTTTAAAATTTTATGTCTTCTAAGTATGAAAGTAATTCATATATATAGTAGAAAAATTGGAAAATAGGAAACCATTAAAAAATGAAGTAAAAAATTACTGTATTCCCATCACCTGAAGATAGTCATTGTTGATATTTTGATGCATTTCCTCCATATCTTTTTTTTCTGCATTTGTGTGTGCATGTGTGTACACTGATACACATAAATGTAATGGGTGAGATATAGGTCTATAGGCTGTCGTTTAAATATAATTTTGTGAGCATTTCTGGCTTCCCTGAAGTCCTCATTAATATTTTAATATTTATTTAATATTTAACAGCGATTGTATAGATGTAGTATGCATTTGGATACATAGGTTGTTTTCAGTTTTTTTAATATTAAAATTAAAACTTTGAAGAGTATCGTTATAAGTAAATATTTGATGATATTTCTAATCTTTTCCTCTGGCTAGTTTCCTAGAAATAGAATTACTTGTTGGAAGGATATAAGCCTTAAAGATCTTGCTGCATAATTAATACTTCTTTAATTATTTAGGAGGTATTTTAATATATTATAAATCCTTAGGACCATAATTATACGGAACTAACATGCAGCATGGGTAACAAACACTTATAAAGAATTTACCGCTATGTGCCAGGTATAATTATTAAAGATAATTATACATTATCTTTAATCTTGACAGCAAGTGTGTCAAGTAGGTAAATTCATTGCTCTTTTCAAGATAGGCAAGCTAAGGCTCCATGGGATTAAGTTGTTTCTCCTAATTTAGAGTGGAAATCGAGGATACAAACCCTATTGGTTTGTTTGTTTTTAATCTCTATGTTCTTCCCTCTATACGCTATTGCCCCAATAGCAATAGCCACAAAAAAGTCACATGGCACCTGGTTAGTAACAATTCCATAGGAAGTAATAGTAATATGTGAAATGACTGGTATTGAAAATTTATGGGAAAAAAAGCTGGGATTTTATGTTTCACTCATTTTTTCTTAACTGGGGAGATTGTGTATGCGTGTGTGAATGTCTATACAGGTTTAGTATTCCTAATCCAAAAATCTGAACCCAAATTGCTCCAAACTCCAAAACTTTTTGAGCACAGACATGAAGCATAAAGGAAATGGTCATTGTAGCATTTTCAACCACTGGCTTATATTTACTGGATTTTTGAATTAGGGGTGCTCAACAAATATGTATCTCCAAATATTTCAAAATAAAAAATTGAAATCCAAAACACTTCGTGTCACAAGCATTTCTGTAAGGAATATTCAATCTGTACACACACACACATGCACACACATACCCCCGTGTATATTTATGTACATATACATATATACACATATACATGCACACACAGTATACTCACATTTTGAAAAAGTTCTTGTTTATAGGCACCAACATTTTAAAAGCTTATCCTTTTCACCTTAAAATGTTTTATTCAACATAGTTTATCTGATTTAATCCTTTCTAAGGAAAACTATGTTGCAAGAAGACTGAAATAAAATAAAGTGGAACTAGAATAAATACCAGTTGTGTACCTTAATAATTGCACGTATAGCTGGGAAAACTGGGAGCCACATAGAAAATTGAAACTGGACCCCTTCCTTACACCATATACAAAAATGAACTCGAGATGAATTAAAGATGCTCTGTATATGGTCTGTAAGTCCTTCCGTCATGGCTTCTGCCACCTCTCCTACCTTCTCTTCTGTCTCATTTCCTCTCCACTCTATTATTCAGTAAGATGAAGATACTTGTTTTCCAGGACTATGGTTCTCCGCACCTTTGCTCAATGCTGCTTTTGCCCTGAATATGTATTCTTCTCCAGCTCTTTTTATTAAAGTACTGTCTCCAAATGCCTCTTGGCATCATTTCAGTTCTAACCTCTCTGTACCTCTTTTTCTATCTTTATAACTCTACCTATTGATATTGCAATCCTGTATCACTACTTTTGTGCCGGGAGTTTATTTTACTTGAGGATATGCTGCATCCTCAAGTTCTGATCCGTTTTCTGCTCTTTAAATGCTATATAGTATGTTTTGAGTTTCTATGTCCAAAATAATTCAGTGTCTTTCCCCTTATTAATTTGGTTTCATCATTACTCGTTTTCTTCTTAAAGGTGCTGTCATTCTTCCATTCACTTGGCTTCAGAATCTTGAAATCATCCTTTACCCTTCTTTCATCTTCACACCCTGTATTCAGTTTAATCCTATTGCTTCCTGTTTGGAAATAACTTATATTAATTACCTCCTTCTTTCTCTACTGCTGCCATCCAAGCTTTGAAGTTCAAAATAAGAGGAAAGTATTTGAAGATATCATGGTCTCTTTTTTCCAACCAGCATTCTAAACGATTTCAAAAGCCTTTGCTGTTGTTTCCACTACTTACTCTTTTCTTCAGACCAGTTTGCTCATCACTGTTGCATTAATGATCTTCCTAAAATACTACTTTTATTTTGCATCTTCTCACTCAGCATTTTTAGTGACTTCTTGTTTCTTTTGGCAGTGTTTCTTTTTGAAGGAAAATTATTTTCATGGACTCTCAGGGCTGACATAAATTATTTTAATTTTTAGTAATGTAACTTAAATATGTCCAAATATAAAACTAAATACAAACTTTTGCTCATACAACTGTATAGCTAAAATAATTTGCAGATTCATAGCAAGCAAAACTATAAAACAAAATTTAACTTCATAGCATTAACATGACAAAGGATATTATTTGCCATAAAAACAAGCTTAATATGAATATAGTACAGTCTCTGGTATAGCACGAGCCTGTTCTACTGCAGTGACTTAATTCATCCACCACTTTTCTGTCTACAAGGTTCTGAGAAACCTTTGTTTCTACAGCATACTATGATAAAATTTGGCCTTCATTTGGTACAGATGTATCATTTGAGAAACAGATTCACCTCTATCTTTTTCTCACCCCTCAGCCTGCTACAATTAAAATAGCACTACTTGGCTATAGTAAGATAGTAAATACAAATGCACATTCAGATACTAATAGTACATGGTGATATAGGGTTACTGGATAAGATCCAGATGATCCAAAATATGGTATAAGTGTGTGTTCGTATATATATATATATTTGTGCCTATGTGCATGTATGTGTAAGAGTCAGAGACAGAGTTTTAGTTGACTTGAAATAAAAAAAAAAACACCTTAGACTTTTATAGGAAACAAATAGAATCTCAAACTCAGCCTCATATCCCCAGAGACTTCCAATATAAAAAATAACTCATCTACAGAATAAAGACTGTATTCCTCATGTTGATATCCAAGGCCTTTATCAATTTGAATTGAATCTATTTTTCTTTTCAGTTCATTTTTCTTTTCTGTCTTCTTACTGTCATGTAAACATGCTCACACTTTCTGAGATGTGTGCCTTCTCTCCTCTCTCTGTCTAAGCCCATCTGTCCATAGCCTTTAAGGACCATTCATGCTTCCGTTTCCCCTTGAAGCTTCTTCCTATCCCTTCAATTGTCATTTGATTTTTCTCCTTCTTTGAACTCTTGTTTGAATTCCTTTTGTGTCTGCTACTTTGGCATTTCATTTCTCTGTATTAAATAATGCCATTTACAATTGTTTGATTTTTATGTTCTCTACATCCCTAGACTTCAGGGCTTTACAGGCAAAATAGTATCTTAAAATTTTTTTGTATAATCCTCAGAACCATTGTTGATATTCTTGAAGCACTTACTAAGGAAATCAAATGATTAGATTTAATACTCAGTATTAGGGATTTAGTTTCTCTTGCAAAATATATGATTTTTAAAAATATGGAGTATAAAGTACTTTGCTGTAAAAAACTTGCATTTCTAAGAAACTAAAATGTCTTAAAATTTTTTATGTTTGCACTCATTGTCCTTCATTCTCAGGACTTTTGGGAAAGATCCTAATGGCTATCCGAGATGCAGGTTTTGAAATCTCAGCTATGCAGATGGTAGGTAGTTTACCATGAACCATAATATTTGCGAGGATTTTTTCAAAAAAAGTTGTAAAATGCTTTACATTGAATGTTCCCTGTGTATTCTTGAACCACATTAAAAATAAAAGACATGCTTACTGAAATCAGTAATCTTCCTATAGTCAAAAATGTTTTTTGACGTGATTTTTCCTATATAATGTTTCACTGAGAGAAGTAATATTCAAATGATACACCTAATTTAAGTGTATAAGGTAAGTTTATGCAATTCTTGAAACTTTAGTTGCAAAATAAATAAGGACCAAAAACTGTAAGCAAAAAATAGAATCAAAGTGAGTAACTGTAATGAGTTTTCTGTCTTCTGGATTCTTAACTAAACAGATAATGAAGGGAGAGAATAAGTTCAGACTTTTTTCCCCAACCAGTACCTTTTGCTGGTTTTTGGACTTTCCCTTAAAACCTTCTTTGGAGTTAGTGTATTCCTGCACCTCTGTTGGCACTTGTACCACTGGACCTTCAGAGCCCACACTTGCTCAAAATGGTGCTGCTCATACCTTTCTAGGAAACCTTTCAGTGAGAAACAACACTTGCTTTGGTAGAGGTCATACCTTTGTGCTATACTCATCCGTACATTTGACTAGAAATTGGGTAACAGATTATTATATAAATTAGATAAACAATTTGTTTTTTACAGTGTTTGAAACCTAGCAAGTTTATGATTTTTTGATAGTGAAACACCAAAATAGCCATTTTGAAGGTGAGAATATTCTTACCAATGTTATTTGTATTTTCTTTTTCTGAAAAGAAACAGCTTTCTGCAAAGTCTTAAGATTACCCAAAATCAAGGATCAGGACACAAACTGGGGTTCCGTCTATTTTGTGCCAATAAACCAAAAAAAAAGGAAATAGTTTTCAAAGTCATCAAGCAAAACTTGAAGATTGATGAGAAAATTGATATTTGAAGAATCTTATCTAGAATTATAAAGCTATTATCAGCCAAAACTTTCTAAAAGTATTAGCTTGTTAATAAATTAACAAGATTGTAGGATGCCATATAAAGCTATTTTTAAAAATATAGAAATGTTAGTTTTAAACAGTGACCTAATTCTAGATCTGCAAACTTAGCACAGTGATATTTGATTGGGTATAGTTTGTATTTAATGAAAAAAAAAATTTTTCAGATGATTAATTGAGCCTATAGGTGAGGCATGGTAGTGTAGTAGTGGCAAGCACAACCATTGGCTTTTGGAGTCAGAAAGATCTATTTCTGAATCTTGAGTCAGCAGCTTTCTAGGCATGTGGTCTTGGCCAAATGTCAAACATTCTTATTCTCCATTTTCCCATTAGGATTTGCCTAAATGAATTATTCTGCAGATTAAATAAAACAATAATTTCTGGCTCAAATTACTAAGTATTTAATAAATGATATCTTCTGTTAGTATTTTGTTGCATTTAACAAAAGATATGTGAGTGTAGGATAAAACACTGAAATTCAACAGAATTTCCTCCCTGTTATAGTAATGTTGCCCATAAAAATAAATCCTCAGAGCTTAAATTATGGTCTTTATAGGCAGAAAGTTCTCAGTGTTCTTCAATCCTGGCAACATTAAAAAAGCAAAATGGAGGGAAAATGAAATTGGGAATTCTGAGGCTATTTTCTAAAAAGATAAGGTCTTAGTTTTTGAGAACCTTGGAACTTAATGAAATTTTATTTCGAACTAAATTTAAATTCAGCCTTGATAAGAATAAGTCCTTCTAGACTTATTTTGTAAGCATACTCTTACAATTCTTTATGAAGAGTAGCAGGAAGTCCACATGACTTGTATAAGTGCTTTATCACGAACTAGACTAACTAGGGATTTTTCTGAATGCTTGGGAGAAACGTATTATTTTCTGTCCCCTCTACAAAGTCTGAACTACTTTTCTTTAATATTTCTTTCTTGTACCACTAATCTATCAATAGTACAGTTAATATTGCATATAAATCTTCTTTTGTATCAATAATGAGTTTTTATTCAGAGATGGGCGTAGTGTAGTAGGTAAGAATATGATCAATGAGGTCAGACTGTTTGAGACAGGGTTATATAACCCCTCTGAGCCTTAGTAGTCTCATCTGTAAGTTGGAGCTGTTAATATGAACAGCTCCATACAGCTTCAACTTACAGATGGTTATTAACAATAACAACCCTATGCAGTAGGGTTGTTGTGAGGACTAAATGAGATGATGCACGTTCAGAACCTAGAATAGTGCTGTTATCCATTATTATTCTTCATGAGCTGATCTTTCATAACACTTTTTCTTTAAAGAAAAATTTATGTAAAGTTTACAATTTAGAGTAAAGAGATTGCAAGTGTTAAGTGCTAAGTGAGGCTCATTTTTCTTTTGTTGGTTGGTTTACGGTTTTGTTTTGTTTTGTTTTTTAATATAGTTCAATATGGATCGGGTTAATGTTGAAGAATTCTATGAAGTTTATAAAGGAGTAGTGACTGAATATCATGTAAGTATAAAAGGAAATGTAAAAAAGAAAATGTACTGTTAAATAAAAAGTATAGGATACAGTGTTTTGGACTAAGCTCCTGTACTAGGTCCCAACTGACCAGGCTAAAAATCAATACGGTCATTCATACTAAAGTTCTGTGTCACCAAACTAAGTTGTTGTCTGACCTTCTGAGAAATCAGGAGAGAGCAAGCCAGATTTCCCAAACAGGCTAATTTTATTTGGCTTAATAATAAAGTCATCTCTGCCTTTCATCAATATGACAAAAACTAATCTGAAGTAACCTGATGTTAATCAGTCAGTTATTTCCACACTACTTCCTTCAAACTATATACTTTTCATACATCCCAAAATTCACTGCAACCAGTCTGCAACTTCCTAAACTCAATTCTCTTATTTTTTTCTTCTCCCCTCTGTGGAGTCAGATAATAGGTTCAGATCTGAAATCCTCTATTATGTGACCATGGACAATTTATTTACCCTCTTTAAACCTTGATTAATCCATTTATAAAATGAGAATAATGATATTACCTGCCTCAGGAGATTGTTGTGAGAATTAAATGAAAATTATGTAAAGCAGTTTCACATATTAAAAGTAGTCAGTAAATATTACCTGCTATTATTACTGTTTTTATTATTACTTAGTCTGATATAATTATTTGGCAGTAGATTCCATGTTGATCATTTACACCTATGTTTTCTGCTTCAACATTTACAGTCATAAAAAGGTGATAATTCCTATCTCATAGGGTTACTGTGATCCATTTATTACATATATTGAGTATTTGCTATATGACAAATAATCAGTAATGAACAAAAAACATGCTGCCTGCATTTATGGAGTTTATTCTCTAAGGAAGATAGACATTAGCTCAAATGATCCTACTCATAGCTACTTAAGCAGTCAAAAGGCTGGAAAGGAAACAAAAAGGTTCTTTTATGTTTAAGCAATTTGCAACTTAATTAAAAACGAGGGTAACTTCAAAATTTTGAGTCAGTTTTTAAAGGAACATGTTATGCTTTTGATGAAGTTATTTGTTTAACATGTTTTTTTTTCCATTTTATACATTTTGAAATAGCCTTGTATGTCTGTTTTCAATTGTATCTGTAATCAACACTGAAAGAGAATAAGTGAGAGAGACAAAGAAAAAAGGGAAGGAGGGAGAGAAAAAGAAGAAAGGAAGAAACAAAGGAAAGAAAGGAGGCAGAGGGAAAGGAAGGAAACAAGGAAGGGAGGAAGAAAAGCGGACAAAATTTACTCTTCTGTTTTTGGAAAACTTGTTTATGCCTTCTGCTCCTCCTGCAAATTTGGCTCTTGACATTTATGTGTAGGTGGTTCTTCAATATCATGAGGCAGAAAATTAGACTCAACATAATTATCTGTAAAAATTCAATTACGTATGATCTTTGTGAAATAGCAAAATGACTTTGGGGGATACACTCAGGAACTCCAATGAGTAGAGTTATGAGTACCATTTAAGTTATGAAGTTCTTTTCCTCCTCTTTTAGCTTCTGTAGTTTCTATTAGGTAAGATGACTGCTTCTGCATCAATATTCAAATATATTCAGTAATATATTATTTTACTTGGGTGTTGTGTATTACAAACCCTCCAAAGTCATTAAAATGGTTCACATGATCCTACATGATTTGGCCTCATCTCTTACTACTTTCCCGTTGTCTCACTCAGCTCCTAGCCTCTTAGCTGATCTTCATATATCCCTACTGTGCTTCTGCCTCAAAGTCTTCATATCTATTTTCACTTCTGCCTAAAATATTGTTTCCTATTCAGGAGGGTGAAAAAATATTTTTTGAGTGTTCTGGACACTGTGAGAGGCATTTTTCTTTGATCATGTTTTTCATTATACCACTTTATATAGAGATCTAAGAATCGTGAAACAGTATACTTCTGTTTTTCCCTTAATATTCTGTGTGCCATTGTTCTCATACATTTTACATCTATATATGCTATAAACCCTACAATACAACACTACTGTTTTGCTTTGAACAGTTATCTTTGAAAGCAACTGAAAATACAAAAATTAGCCAGGTGTGGTGGCAGGCACCTATCGTCCCAGCTACTCAGGAGGCTGAGGCACAAGAATAGCTTGAACCCAGGAGGCTGAGGTTGCAGTGAGTGGAGATGATGCCACTGTGCTCCACCTGGGCAACAGAGCAAAACTCTGTCTCAAAAAAATAAAGAAAGCAACTAAAAAATAAAAATGCATTTTATATTTGTACTCGACATGTTTACTGTTGCTTAGTATAGATTTATATTTTTGTCTGGTACTTTTTTCCTTCTGCCTAAAGAACTTCCTTTAATATTTCTTATGATATAATGCTTCTGATGGTGAATTGTCTCAGGTCTTTTTTGTCTAAAAAACTCTTTATTTTTTTCTTCATTTTTGAAAAATATTTTCTCACCTGGATATACAGTACAGATTTACATGTTTGGGTCATCATTGTTGTCATCCTTATCCTTTTCCTGCTGTCATATAATGTCCTTCCCCCAACCCCCTGGCTGCTTATAAGGTTTTTTGTTTTTAGCTAATTTTGTCATGATGCATCCTAGTGTACTTCTCTTTACATTTATTATTCTTGGGTTCTGTTGGGTGTCTAGGTTTATGGGTTTCAGCAAATTTGGAACGTTTTTAGCACCTATTTAAAAAAGTATTTTTTCTGTTTATCACCTTTTCTTCTCTTCCAAGATTCTGATTACACGTATAATAGCTTAACATGGTTGCGCAGCAGGTCTTTTTTCTTCTTGTTCATTTTTCTTTCTCCCTTTGCTTATTTTGGAATAGTTTCTATTGAATATCTTCAAATGTATTGCTTTTCTGCAATGTCTTATCCTGTTCACCCCATTCAGTGTATTTTTCAATTTAGATGTCTTAAATTATACCTCTAGAAGTTCTATTTTGATCTTTTTAATATTTTTTATTTTCTCCTCATCATGTTCATATTTCCTTGTATAATTTGAGAATGTGGAGCTTATAATAGCTGTTTTAATATCCCTATGTTATTATATCATGTATTTAATTGCTGGGTCTATTTATTGAGCTTTCTTCTGGTAATGGTTAGTATTTTCCTACATCTTTGCCTACCTAGTAATTATTTGTTGGATGCTTTATATTGTAAAATTTACAGTGTTACATGGTACATTTGTAAAGGGTGCTCAATTTTGTTCTGGCACTTAGTTAAATCACTTGGAATCAGTTTGAGACTTTTGAGTCTTGCTTTTCAGCTTTGTAGGATGGGTACAGAACATCTTCTAATCTAGGGCTAATTTAGGCCAACTGCTATGGTGCAGTACCCTTCTGAGGACTCTCCCTGATGTTCCATGTATCGTATGAAAAGGCGTTCACTCTGGCTGGTAGAAAAACTCTTCTCAGCGTTGGGCTGTCTCTGATTTGTTGGATCTACTTTCCGGCAATTCTTTCCCAGCCTCAAGTGGTTTTCTCTACACATACGACAGATTAGTAGCCAAAGACTCATGGGAACTCCTCTGCAGATCTTGTAGCTTACTCTCTGCATATTCCCCTTGTTTCTCCAGTATTCTTTTCTGAAAACAAGAGCTGCATTGGCCTCCCCAAAGTCCAGTCTTTGTCTATTCAACTCAGAGAATGTTGGTTGTGTTTCCTCTACCTGGTCTACAGGTCTGGAAACTGCCTCTAGACAGTAAGACAGAGCAGTTATACAGCTCACCTCATCTGTTTCCATACTCTCAGGGTCATAGTCCTGTGCTGCCCATCATTCGGTGTATGAAAACTATTGTTTCATATGTTTTGTCTAGTTTCTAGATGTTTAATGTGGGAGAATAAATCTGGTTCTATTATTTCTTGTTGCTAGAAGGCATTATGATTTTTAAAAGGTTTTTCAGGAGAAAACCTTTGAAATTTATATATATATATGGGAATGTGAACTTGACAACATTGTATTCAAGAAGGCCTTTGCAAGGAAGATATACTAAAAGATAATTCCAAATAATTAAAGTGTCAGATGATAAAGGATAACATTAAAATGGTAACAGGAATGGAGCGAGAAAACATATTCTTCAAGGAAAAGTGGACAGAATTTGGGAACCGCTTGTTGTGTGGGATATAAGTGGGGGAGAAGTCACAGATGACTTTAAGGACATTAGTGGAATGGTGACACAATTAAAAGATGAGGGGTAAAGATTGTTAAATTCTTTTTATTCTTGTATATTACATATCATAGGACATGGTGACAGAAATGTATTCTGGCCCTTGTGTAGCAATGGAGATTCAACAGAATAATGCTACAAAGACATTTCGAGAATTTTGTGGACCTGCTGATCCTGTAAGTTATTGTTTAAAATATTAACCGAGTGTATGTTATCTATTCACTATTTTCACAGGTTTAAAATTTTTTGTTTGTTCCTTAAAGTAAATAATATAAAAGTGAATATAATATACAAAGTTTTTATTCAAAATGGCACTTTACATTATTTATTTTTTTGAGAGGGAGTCTCACTCTGTCGGCAAGCTGGAGTGCAGTGGCGCAATCTCGGCTCACTGCAAGAAGGCCTTTGCAAGTAAGATATACTAGAAGATAATTCCAAATACTGAAAGTGTCAGATGGTAAAGTATTACATTAAAATGGTGATAGGAATGGAGAAGAGAGGATGTATCTAGAAAAATATTGCCCAGACTGGTCTCCAACTCCTGGTTTCAAGCAATCCTCCTGCCTTACCCTCCCAAAATGCAGGGATTATAGGTGTGTGCCACCACAGGTGTGTGTCTGCCGCCCAGGTTCAAGCAATTCTCCTGCCTCAGCCTCCCCAGTAGCTGGGACTACAGGTGTGTGCCACCACGCCTGGCTAATAGTTTGTATTTTTAGTAGAGATGCAGTTTTACCATGTTAGCCAGGATGGTCTCGATCTCCTGACCTCGTGATCCACCCACCTCAGCCTCTCAAAGTGCTGGGATTACAGGCATAAGCCACCATGCCTGGCCTACATAATTTATTTTTACATGACATTCCAAGAAAGAGATTTTTAAAAATTAACTTAGTGACAATATAGAATAGGCAGAAGCATTTACTATAGCATTTTATCTTTTTTCTTGCTAAATTGTCCAAATAAATACATTTTGAAAGCTTCATAATAGAAATTATCTAAGGTATTATATATCCTTTAACATGGGGGGCCATAAGTAAAGCTGTTATAATACAGTGTCAGCATACCAATACATAAATAAATATGGGCAATGGGACTTACGTGAAACTTGGTATTCACTAGTATACCTTTCAATTTGCTTTGAGTTTTCTTCCTGTGGACATTTAATAGTGTGTATATGTATGTGTGTATAAGTGTGGCAGGGTGAAAAGTAGAAGTAACATTAGAGCACTATGATAAAGCTCCATTTTACTATTATTTATAAATAGTTTATTGAAGATGAGCAGCCAATTCAATTTAATTTTATTCAGGAAATTATTTATTTTTTATTTCTTTATTTCTTTAGTTTTTAGACAGAGTCTTGCTCTGTTGCCCAGGCTGGAGTGCAGTGGTGTGATCTCGACTCAGTGCAACCTCCACCTCCTAGGTTCAAAAAGTGACTCTTCTGCCTCAGCCTCCTGAGTACCCGGGACTATAGGTGCCCGCCACCACACCTGGCTAATTTTTTTGTATTTTTAATACGGACAGGGTTTCATCATGTTGGCCAGGCTGGTCTCAAACTCCCAAACTCAGGTGATCTGCCAGTCTCGGCCTCCCAAAGTGCTGGGATTACAGGCGTGAGCCACCATGCCCAGCCATTTATTGAACACCCTTAGATGTAAGACAATAAATCCACAGCACCTATTAGGAAACCATCTTGTGTGCCAATGCTCTTAGATTAAGCCCCATAGGGGAGAACCTACTCCTGTTGTCAATGATTTAAAAGTATATACATAAAAATCTTTTAGAAAACTTACAGTGCTACATATAAAAAAGGATATTGTTTCAGTAAAATCCAAATGTTGAATTGTAAAGGAGCAGTTAATATGACCTGGAGGTAGCTAAGAAAACTTAGAGGAAGAGAGATATAAACAGGGGTTTAAAAGACAAATTAGGGCACAAAGAGACTGAAAAAGATTGAAAGCATGTACAAAAAGGCCAATGAAGGAATTTGCAAATTTACTATCGGATACAGCAGGAATATTTTCTTGGCTTCAGTGGGAAATCCAGAGCTGGAAGCACCAAGAGATACATTTTCTTAAATAGATGAAATATGGTAGCGAATTCTGCTAGGTTGGAGTGTGATTTTAGCCTTAGAAGCCAGGTTAAAAATTGTAATTCTATTTAGTTTGAATCTCATATCATAGGAAATTGGATTTCCTTGTATGCAGCTTAATTTTGACTGTACTGAATTGTTAGTTTGATGCAACTAGATCAAACTAAATTGGAAGAGATTTAAGACAGAAGATCTAGAAATAGATGCAGACATCAATAGTGAAACTTGGCAGGACCTCCTTTCTATCTTTTCAGGGACAAAGACTAGAAACTTAAATAATACATAGTTTTTAGATGAATACCAATGTTCCAACCCCCAGGGGGCACCAACACATTTGATACAGAATTATTTTGTCACAGTAGTGTTTACTATTATCTCACTTAGGAACCAAGCATTGGGATACTCTCTAGGTTCTAGGTTGGCACATTCATTTGTGGAATGGAGGCTTCATTCTCAAGCAATAGTTAGAATAATATTAACAATACTTTCATATATTCAGGCATATCTTCTAGTGTAGTGGAGAATAGAAAAGTCTTATGACTAAAACTCTCAAGAGATTCCCTTTAGTATACAGACTGGATAAACTAGAAATAAATTTCACTTTAAGGGATTTTTGCCCCTTTACCTGCATTTTTGTTAGATTGTGATTTACTCTGTTTTATTTAACTAAAATTATTAAATACATTGTGGGTGTTGGGTATTCAGGACTGGGCATGATAGACATTGGCTCTGCCCACAGGGAATTTATAGTCTAGTGAGGAATATTATTATTAAACAAATGATTACATAGTTGTATATATTACCACTATGCTAAGTCTTTTAGAAGAATCTGATAATTGTGTAAGAAATTGTATTAATAGCAGGAGGCTCTAGCTTAGTTGAGGTAGAGAAATTCCTGAAAGATTTTTATTTATTCCGAAGCCTGTAAAGGCCCTAAATCTGGGGAGAACCTAGCATATTCTAGGAATTCAAGGAAGGCTGGTTTGGCTCTAGCCTACAATGCTAAGAGGAAACTAGCCTACAAGGTAGCTAGAGATTGTTTAGGCCAGGTATGAAGACCACATTAACTAGTTTATATTTACTCTACGTGCAACAGGAAGCTCCACAGAAAATTAAAATAAAGGATTAATGACATCTAGTTTGTATTTTAAAAAAAACTCTGCGACTATTATGTGGAAAATTTGTTGGAGGAGAATAAAGTAAATCGGGCCAGAGAAATGGGACCTTGGGCTTGGATGGTAACAGTGGAGGGTTTTGAAATATATTTTGGAAGGAAAACTGGAAAAGAACTTGGTAATTTGGATGTGGGCATGAACAAGTAGATAGTTTATTTACTATAGAAGAAGAAATTAGAAATGACTTTTATTTTGGAATATATATAGAAACAGTAATTAAAACACCAAAACCTTTATTCATTGTTTAAATGTTTTTCTGGAGCTTTTTCAGAGTTTTAAATATTACATATATATAAATAGCTTTTACTCTCAAAAGTATGAGGTAGAAATAGCAAAAATGCATGTAATCTTGAATTTAAACTATTTTAACTTTGGCATCTATCATGTTTTAGTAAATTTGGTCTTTGATGAAAAAGGCCTTAAGTGTGTCTGGTTTTGTTCTTAAAACATAATGAGGTCTTATGCTGCTCTTTCAGTGTTAATTTTGTGGATTTTTCAAAACTCAAGTTTTGTAAAAACAAAGAAATACTATATTTCACCTTGCTATAACCACCAGATATTGCTTTCTTATTAGTTCTGCTGTGGAAATTCATATGTGAATGGTATTAATTGACTAAAATCTAAAAACAGATGGATTATGGAAACACACTCTATAACCTTACTGGATTGAAATCCAATCAATATGTATATTTTCCAAACCTGTAAATCTATGTATCTTTGTATTACTTTATTACCACCCATAAATGTGATCTGTGTAAGTAAAGGTAACATTTAGAGACTATTTGGGATTCTTTCCAGTTTTGGCTTTTAAGCCTTTTTACTAATTAACAATTTATTGCTAAGAACTTCACTACTTGCTGAGATGTTACACTTAATACTACACAGAATGCAAAGGAAATGGCTGTTTGAATTATTAACACCATAATCTCTACTTTCAGAGCTACAGCAGTGATTAGAATAGAAATGTACCTTCCTTTTCTTCAGTATGGTTTTACTATTATTTTGGTTAAAATATGACCCTGTATGTAGATTTCCACCGGGGAGTTAACCAATAATAGCCATTTTTTCTTTGTTATCCTTTTCACTATTAAACTTACTTCAAAAGGCTTCTAAAGGTTCTTTACATGTTACAGAGATAATATATACAGTAAAGTTGGCCTGAAGCATTTTCGTCTCTGATTTATTCTTTATTCAGTCAGCCAACCCACCAACCACTATCCAACCAAACATTTACAGACTTTCAAAGTGCATGAAGTATTAATAGTTTTTCGTACTAGCAATGAAAACATGAACAACACGCCTTTGCTGAGCCAGAAGAATTTATGTCCTAGTTGAAGAAAAGAATTGTATAGTCAATAGTTGCAATAAAGTCTTATCATTGCCATGATAGACATATATATTAAATGGAAAAAATTTATGTTCAAATAAGATTGAGAAATAGTAGATTAAGTGAAGTTAAGCAGATTTGTGTACTACAGGACCCTAGAACATTTCAAATGCTGACATGCATTGTGAATCTCCAAAAGAAGGCATCTGGTATGAAGTATTTTCCAATTTTGTTGCCAAAAGTTACAGATGACAACCAGGATGAGGAGAAATTCCTGAGCATAATTCTTGCTAAGCTGCTTTCAGGAACCTTGAAGAGAACATAAAGAACTCTGAAACGTAGCTTTTACTTTTTAGGGAAGAGAGAAAGATAACCAGGACTACATAAATCTGGCCTTCATTATTTTTTTTTATTTCCAGCCTATTCACTCCACCACTCTCCCTTCCCCACTGCATTAGATCTCTGCAGTGATTTGGAGGCTCCTATAGCTTTCCTGCTTTTGAATTTCTCATCAGTGTTAGAAAGTAACATTGTCCTGTTATTAAAACTTATTCATCCTGATAAACCAAAGCTCACAAATACTTG